AGAAATGGAGTATCGAGCAGCAGTGAAACAAGCTTCAATCTAACTTATAAAAGTCCTTGGAAGCCCAATAACAGTCAGAATAGCAAAGATAAATCCCAATACATAGAGTCAAAACCTTATGAAGGTCAATTTTCAATGAACACCTTGGAGAAATAGTCTTTCTACCATAGCCTTTAACCAGTTCCTGTGCAAGAAGGGTGTTGTCAACAATGTTCATTCCTTTAACAAAAGCAACCTGATTAAGAGTGATCATTTATGGTAAAAGACTTGTCAATATTTTGACCAAGATCTTTGAAATAGCTTTGTAAACCACTGAACAACAAGAGATAGGTCTAAAATACTTCACCTTGCTTGGATTAGGAACTTTAGGCACCAATGTAATATATGTTACATTGAAAGCATGCAGTGTAAAAGAATCTTAAAAGAATTGTGTTACAGTAGTAACCACATCATCACCAATAATTGACTAGGATTTTTTGAAAAAATAGGGAGTAAACCCATCTGGTCCTGAGGCTTTTTTATTTCCTTAGCAGAAAAAAGCATCTTTGATCTATTTCCTCGTAATTTCCTTAACAAGGCCAGTGGAAGCTACAATAGGCATGGAGTAATGGATCAGTTCTTTTAAAAGATTTGGATTACAACCTTTGACTCATGGATTAGTAGTCCCAATCAGCCTAGTGAAAAACCCTATCACCTCATAAGCCATATCATCAAAATATTCTAATCTATTTCCATGATCATCAATAAGGTCCCTAATAGTGTCCCTTTTGGTCTTAGAAGCAACTGCTGAATGAAAAAATTTAGAACATTTATCCCCTTCTTTTAGCCATTGTACCTTTACCTTCTACTTTAGGAATATATTCTCAGCCTCTTCAAGGAGTTTTAACTCATTTTGAATTTGGAGCTCCTTGACAATGGTATCTTCTCCTCTCATAGTTAAAAGTTGTTGTTGTTCTAATTCCATCTTCTTTTGCTTTACTCGGACTGAGATATCACTATAGAATAGTTGATTCAAATTCTTTAATCTAGCTTTAAGAAGCTTTAGTTTAAAGAATAGATTCTGATAGAGGTGTCTTAGGAAGTACTTTTCCAGGACTGCCTTACCACATTCAGAAATTGCGGATGTTGAGTCCAGAATTTAAAGAACTTAAAATGCTTTGGACAGTTTGCAGGAACCTCTTTTGAGAGCCAAGCCAAAGCCAATCAGTGGTATGAAATTCCAAGTGCAAGAAACTCTACATGAGACTTTTGAAAAGTACTCAACCATATAGGGTTGACTAAGACCCTATCAAGATTCCTTGCAAGGAACAAATTGTGTTGTTTGTTGCTCCAAGTGAAGGAAGGGACCAAAGAAAGGGTGATCAAGAAGCTCCAAGTCATAGATAACATCTTGAAACTCTTTCATGTCAGAAGTTATAATAGGTCCCAACAGCTCAGAATTAGAACTTTCATTCGAGTTTAAGGTAATATTAAAATCACCTCCTAAAATCCAAGGGAAATTACCAAATTGGCTATCCAAATTACGTAATTGCTGCCAAAGATGTCGTCTCACAGTACCATCATTGCTACCATAAACAGCTGTGATGATCAAAGGGACACCAAGATAAAGTCTTTTTAATAGAAATGCTTTGATCTGAAACATAACTAATTGTGAAATACTGACCTTTCTTCCATAGGATCCATATCCTTTCATTCTCGGAAAAATCATAGTTAGAGCAGACATTCCAAGTCTCAAACTTACTCTTGAGAATACATTTTGAGTTATCTACTTTAACTCGAGTTTCCAAAAGGCAAAAAAACATCAACTTTATTCAGATTAACTCTCTTTACTACTCCATCTTGTTTTAGAAGACTATTTAATCCTCTGATATTCCAAAACCCAATTATCATTGAGAAGGAGAGACTAGGACACCCCATTACCACTTACTGCAACATTTTTTGCTTTCTCCAAATGGTCATTCTTCTTTGCTTTTAGCTCATATACTAACACATTATTATTTCTACCTAAAACATTAATATTTTTTTAATAATTTTGGTAAAGTTCCCAATAATAACAAAATCGGTAGAAAAAATAACAAAACCGATAGAAATAATAATGTTTCCGTTATTTTTTTACCGGTTTTGTTAAAAAATAATAATAAAACTGATAACGTAATTTTTTAGCTGTATATTAAGGTTGTCGTACATGATCATTTCCCGTATTTTAGTAGCCTCAATAAAATTACTATCAAAGAGCTTCGAATTCCGCAGTTTTCGTAGGTTCCAATAAGCGATAAGGAAAACCACATTCCAGTTATCAAATATAAATTAATATTAATTAAAGATATCACAAAGTATAATATATAAAAAATCATTAAAATAAAAATATTTATTTGCAAAAATGAAAGATTAAATTGATCCATTTTTTTTATCATATTTGAACTAACCAATCCAATCTATCAACTTTGTTAGTTTGATTATCCAAAATTGCATGAAAGGTCAAACATACATCAATCTATAGGGTTATTTAATGATTATGCTTTCCCCTTATTAATTTATTTTATTTTTGTAATTAGTCTAAGGAGTTCCATCCCTTCAAATGTACAAAACCATAAAAGGTAGATTATACAGGAGTTGATATAGGTCAGCTTCTTATTTTTCTTTATTATTGTCTAGATAAAGTGCATTAGAGGACCATTAAACTATGTTCAAATGATTCTTTCGGTCACTGAACTTTAAGAAATTATAAAATGATCATTAAATTTATCAAATCATATCATTAAATTTATCAAATCATTACAAAACGATCACTATAATATTATAATAATCGTAAAATTTTGATAAATTTAATTATCATTTTGTAACAATTTAATAAAATCTAATGATTATTCTGCAATATTTTGATAAATTTAATGACCATTTTACAATCGTTCGATAAATGTAATGACAAGTTTGTAACTTTTAAAAATTCAGTAGCCAAAACAATTATTTGAACATAATTTAATGACCTCTTATGTTTTTGGAAAATTCATCATTTTCAAAAAGCAGCCGTATATTCCAAAAGAGTATAAATTCAAACATTTTCTTCCTTGACAGTAAAAAAGGAACCCAAGAATAGATTTACCGTGTACGAAAAACTTCTACCGTGCTTAAATAAATTACCCACAACTATAAATTTATTTACGAGTCAGACTATAAAAAATAATTCATACTTGAACAAATAAAAAGGTATATGAATTCGACTAAATATATGGATAAATCTATTTTCCACCAACCATCCCACTAATTTACATTTTTAATCTCGAGGTTTATGTAATAGTTGACCCTCTTTTTTTTTACCATAGTTTTCTCGTCTGGTGGTTAGCCCTCACTTTTTAAAGGTAAAGTTAGTTAAAAACAAAGGCCATGATAAACAATTATTTCGATCCCTTTTTATTCTTTACAAATATTGTTATTTAAATCTAAATCTTTAAAAAATTAAATCGCCTTTAAGTCATTAAGATTCTTCAATAGATTCGCAAAGTACAATATTTTAGAAACACCAGCCAAATCTTAGGTATTTAATTTTTTATTTTTTATTTTTGGCTTAAACGTTACTTTTGTTATTATAATAGACTCAATTTATCATTTCACTCTTATGGTTTTTTGCTTTAATTTAGCACTTGTAATTATTTAGGATATTCATCCTAGCTCTTGAAGCCCGTTAACCATTTTAACTAATAGAACTATGAGTCTTATGCGTTCGTGTATTAATGAATTATGTTAATTTTTTTATTAAACACAATGATTAGAATAAATTACAAAACTTTTATTATTTATTTTAGTGATATTAAAGGATTATATCAAATTCTTAGAGATTTTTTTTCTAACATTTGTATTTAGTAAATATTTTATTATTTATTTTTAAATAAATATCATGTCGCCATCAAGTTACTTCAATGATATTGACTTATATGAAAATTATTGGTGTTGATAAACGCAAAAGATTAACGGTTGTTAGTTAAAAAGAACTTCGAGGACTAAGATGAACACCATAAACAATATCGAATGCTAAATTGATGGAAAAAACTATAGGGGCGAAAATAACTCATTGGATTCTTTAATAATTGATAAAATAAAAAAGTATAGAGCCCTAATTAAATTAAATTAAATTTTAGACTTGTATCTTCGGAAGAATAATAAATATTTATTTTATATTAAACTTTTAAGAAATAAAAATTATTAGTGATAAAGTAATAAGCCTATATAAATAGATAATGTTTTCAATATTTTTCTTTATTAATATGTAATAAATGCAATCATTTAACATTCAACACTCATATTCCTATTATTCATGGTACTCAAATCTTGGACCTCAAAGAATAACAATAATTCTTTTACCAACGATGTTATTTGGTTCGTATTAACATTTCCAATGTCAGATAAAGGATACAACCTATATACTAATGAGCACTCCGACATATGTGAATGTGCTACGTCAGTCAAAAGTGTTGACTATTAACTAATGATTTTCATTCAAATAAGAGTCATTATAATTACAAGATAGATCATACTTATTTATAAAATTTCTTTATAATTGATAATGCATACACATCTGATAAACTGCTTGAACCCAGAATCTCAAAAGAAAACAATAGTTCATTTAATTAGTGAGCCCATTTAATGTTTATGATAACATATTTCAAATTTAACGAGAAAATAATGTGTATATAATAATATTCTAATTAAATAACTAAATTATAACTTTAAAAAATGGATTCATTTAGTGATATTTATTCTCTCCCGTTACCAAAAAGCGCAATGTTTTTGAAAAACAAGTCATGAAAAAACAAATTTACCTTTGGAACGTTTACATGCATATAGCCAAAAAAAAAGTACGACTTGAAGGACTTGGGCTCCACTTTCGCGGCTGATTTCACACTCCCTTCAACCTCCAAACATCTCAAAAGTCTCTGTGTTTACTCGCACATAATCTAACTGTATAAAAAGGCCAATCCACTCAACGTTTTTAGCCCTATCTTGAGCTTTTGTATTCATCTGTTGTTTGTCCCTTGAAAACTACAAGGGAAAACACTATATTTCAACTCTCATAAAACAAGCTCAACTATCTTGCCATTTTTAGGCATTTGGTAATTGAATATGGAAGACCAATGGGGATTTTGCCCTAATGAAGAGGTAAGCTTAGGGATGGACCGAAGGAGTGCGGTCGTACTTCTGGAAATTTCAAATCTTCATATAATTTATATATTTTCTTTGTAATTTCACTGAAATTTTGTAATTTTGTATAGTCTGACATCAAATCTTGTATTAGTCCTTTTAAAGCTATTTGTTTCGAACATTGGGTGTTTCTTGATACGGTCAAATTCTAACCTTTTTTTCATTAAATTTATAGGGAATGGAGGATTTAAAGCACACCCTTTTGTTTACAACGATGGAGCTAGAGAATACACTAATATCAGCTAAAGAGGAGGTCACAAAGAGAGACCTTGAATTGATTCATCTCAAGGATGTTCTAAGCAAGACGATGAGAGAACGAGATGATGCTCGGCGTCGATGCCGGAACCTAGTGCTGGAGAAATTCGTACTACTCGAGCAACAATCACAGCACAAGCAAGTTCAGCATGAAACTGCTTCACTTTCTGGTGTTTCTAGTAGTGACGATGAGTCCAACTTGAGCTTAGTCTCGTCTCCCGATTCGGACTTGTTGCCGCAATCGTCGGCCGCCGCCTTGAAACTAGCGGCTAATAGGCCACTGCCTGAGCAAGGAAGGCTGTTGCAGGCGGTGAAGGATGCAGGTCCGCTCCTGCAGAACATTCTCCTGGCCGGACCACTTCCTCAATGGCAACATCCACCTCCTCAACTGGCCGTCATCGAGATTCCACCGGTGGCTATTTCTTCCCCTAAGCAGCAACTCTTGAAACAAGAGTCTTTCAACAATGTTAATGTTTGTTTAGGCAAGAAGAGGGGTATAGAGAACTATGAAGACTTTGAATCTTCTCCCAACACCAAGTACCACAAGGTTGCTCTTCACTAAGGTCAAATTATGATTCTAGTCCCTCTACTACACTCTAATTTGACATAATCTGATTTTTCTACTTTGGTAGTGTCATTAGTTAGTTAGTCTATATAATCAAGGCATAATGTCAAGAAATGCCCATAACAAAATAGTAATTCTGGTCCTTGTTCTTTTTAAGAACATGTTAGCCCCAACATTTCATTTTAGAGCATAAATGAATATTTCATTCTAGGACAAAAAATCCCTATTTTGGACCATAATTTGGCCCTCCACAAAACAATACCCAATTCATCCTAGAATTCTGAAGACTAGTTGTTGTCTTAGTAATCAATTGTTCTGACTACCCACCACCAACGTACTTCAACGGAGGCTTAGAGGGTTAGAATTAACGTCCTTAGTTTATGCTTGATTTTCGACATTATGTATATTAATGGAATTTGACAAAATTCCCAAATTTGAGAAAATTTATGTTTCAATTAAGTTAAATGTTTTGCTTTGGGCTATAATGGCACCCCCTTCTCTTTGCCCTTTGCTTTTGTTGATAGCAAAGTTGGTTTAATGATGGATGAAAACGTATGACCATAATAAGCTATCATGGATCTTCAATGATGTTTCTTTTTCCTTCGTTCCATGGAGCACACCTACCATTAATTTTGAATGTCTACCATTAAAAATAAGTTCATAAATTCGAATTATGATATCGTGAATACAAATAAATTGAATCATAAAAAAACACTTTCATAATAAATCTTTATAATATCCAATCGATATTAACTGATTAATGAACCGAATAACAACGATTATAGAAAACATTGGAACTATATCGTGACTAAATACTAATGCATATGTATGGAATCCATGTCTGGAAGATATTTTTTATACTATTTCAAGTCTCATTTAAGATTTATGTTCGGGGTTTTTAACTTTTTTTTATATAACAAACATAAATATATTATTTGAATTATCTTAGAATTCAAATATTAAATGAGTGATTGTGGTTGAATTGAAATAATTAAAATATATTATCTTAAAATTCAATTTTTAAACAAGTGATTGGGATTAAATCAAAATAATTAAAATATTATCTTAAAATTCAAATATTAAATGAGTTATCTTAAAATACTTTTTATATTTTTATTAAAGTTTGAGTTGGTATATTTTATATTTCATAATATCAATAAGTGTAAATATCATTTAAATTCTATATTTTTAATTTACAATATAACATATATATAATGAACATTTTATTTTTTTCAAACTCATTTTTTAAAAATAATCTCAAACAATTAAATTTTAAACTGACTCTAATTTAATTTTGGTACTACATAGGTGACCCCAACCTAATTTACTACATTCGTAAACATCAAGATTCGAACTCCTGACTCTGCTTAAAGAATCTAAAGTATCGCGTCACTAATCAATCGGTTGTTGGTGTATGCTTTAGTTATCATCTTTCATGTTTATTTATCCTTTCATTTTCTTTAAATTTTTTTAATAATAAATTGTGCATATTAAAAAAATTATAATTTGACCTAAACGATTGCAAGGTATGATAACATCTGATATATCAATAATCATGATAAATACTATACAATCCGAAATATGATTGTGATGACGATTTAAATTTAAGATATTTTTTTATCAAAGGGTTAAAGACATTAACATGAAAAATTATGGAGAAATAATGAGTTGGTTCACATGGAGAGGGTCAAGGTCAGTGTTTACTTTAAGGCCAATCGAAGCAACCATTCCATCATGAAGGGCACATGCCTGTTCGCGCAACATTCACCGGTAAAAGGTCCCACACGTTTTCCATCACACTCTAGTTGATTGCCCCAATTTTAACTCAAAACATTAGACTATGGGTTACAGACTTACAGGACAATAATTTTAGACATTTAAAGGAATGGATATTTGTTTGATTTGATAAATTCTAGGGTAAATTACATGTTAGTACCTCAACTATAAGCTTTGTTCCGCTCTAGTCACTCCAACTATTTTTTCTCAAAAATAATACCTAATATTACGTTTTAGTTTCATTTTGGTCACTCATCGTTAAAAAACTATTAGAGCTGCTAACATGAAATTTTTATTTTTTCAATGATGATGCAGTATTGTCTTATGGTGACATGTCAGTATCACCTTTAACTTTTTTAACGATGGATGAATAAAATGAAACTAAAACTAAACGTTATGTATGATTTTAAAAAAATAGTTGATTGATGAGAACGGAACAAAAGTGATAATTTGAGTACTACACGTATAGTTTATCCTAAATTATATTTAAATCTGATCGGACTTAGATGTGATAAATTTTAAGATTAGAGGATATTGTAGCTTTTAAAGTTGTATCATACTCTCAAAAATATTAATTCTTAGTATATATTTTTTTATTTTTTTAATATAAAATCAAGCTGTTTAAAAATTTAGAGATCAATTTAAAATAAAAATTATAATTCGGGGAGGTATAATGCAATTAACTCTAAAAATTATAGATGACATGTAAAGGCAGACAAGGATTTGGGCTTTCTTTGAGTACGGTAGGCCCAAAGTTATATTAAATCTTCTTACCCAAATGTATAAATCAATGTATGTAAACTTTTAAGAAATTAAATTGGGCCTGGGTATATTTACATATTAATAATGAACTAATAGGCCCATACTTGCGTGTTTGTTTTTTAATAAAACTGCACCCTTTTTTAAAATGAATGGCCAAACTCTGGTAACATGAAAAATAAATAAATAAATTTATAAAATCATTTATTAAAAATAAATTTCCTTTTCGTGACTTATATTGTAAATTATATATTGATTGAGTTTGGTTTAATTGATACCAAAATGTATGTTTATCCTTCTAGGAAAGAAAGAAAAATATACGAGCAAATTTAACGCTTATACCTTTTATCAAATTGGCATTTATCCCCATGGAGATGAAGCATGTAGGTAAATTGGAGCATTTTGCGGTGGCTAAAGCCAGGCAAAAGATCATCCATCGAACAGGCGGTGTATAAAAAATATTTAAAATATATGATAATTTTAAATTTTTAAAGAGAAAATAACCTCAATGACCAAAAATGCCTTATAATATACGATTTTAACTAACTTTTTTTGGATTTGCCAAAATGACCAACTAAATCGCAATGCGATCGATAATTCGCAACGCTATCTCCGGTATCGCAAATCAGTTTCCAGATTCGCAACGCGATTCTGACTATCGCGTTGCGATTTTCCTAATTCGCAACGCGATTACGTAAATCGCAATGTGAATACGTATTCGCATTGCGATTTACGTAATCGCGTTGCGATTTACGTATTCGCGTTGCGATTTAGTAAATCGTAACGAGATTCTGACTATCGCAATACTGAATTTCAAATTCGCAACTTGATTTCTGAATTCGAACAGGTTTTAATTTCGCAACACAAATGTTTTGGGTATATAACTACGCAGCAGCATCAACTCATAACCTAAATCCCTAAATCGCAACTCATTCCATCTCCATCTATCACTCTCTCCGGCGACATCCGTTCCTATATCCAACGACATCCGTTCCTATATCCAACGACATCCTTCCCCATCCGGCAACAGGTTTTAGTTTCGCAGCTCGTTTGTTTAGTAAATTAATTTACAATAATGAAATCATCTAATGTTGATCATGTTTGGATAGATTTGTGTTTTGGAGGGTCATGGGAGAATGTTCATGGTGTTTTACAATATATGCCTTTACACATGAATCTTCAACTAAAACTGTCATTAAAAAAGTTAACTTATGAAACTCTAATGTTACGTGTTGCAAATAAATTGAATTTAGAGCCCCTAAGTGGATTTAGGCTATCTTATCAGAGAAATGGTAAAGTTTATTTGTTAACCGACAATGAAGATGTTGAACGATTCATTGCTTACATTAGTGTTTCAAGTGATGATGTTACATTGTATGTTGTTAAACCTAGAAGTAGTGAAGTTGGGTCAGTAGCGGGTAGTAATCAACTAAGTTTTTCAACCCCAGTTTATGGTGCTCAAAATTTAATGGTTCCACCACAATTTCATCACCAAGCAAATATTGTTTCACCACATTTCCAAAACCAAACACAATCTCAAAACCCACAACATTTCCCTAATCCAAATCCCAATCAACTTTCAGCACCAAATTCCGGTTTTCGTATTGACCAGTTAGACGATGATGAGCCAATAGAAAAAATTGTGAGTACTAGTCAGTATTCGAAATTTGATCTTGGTCAATACCCAGACTTTGATCTTGGTCAATACTCGGATTTTGATGATTTTTCAGAAGAAGAAACAGACCCTGCGTGTAATGATTTTGATATTGGTCAATACCCGAATTTTGATGATGAAACAGCCGTTGCCGAGAAAGATGTTGTTGATGATAATGAGGAGGAAGTTACTACTGTAAATGAACATGTTGAACATCCATTATGTAATTCATATAACCCTGAAGAAGAAAAAGAAAAAGAAGAAATCCCCAAAGTAAAGTCCCCGAAGAAAATGCCACGGGAGTATAACTGAAATATGCCAGAATTACTTCAGATACCGGAAGAAGAGTTGGTAAAGATAGCAGTTGTTTGTTACACAAAAATTATTCGTATAAAAAAAGATGATTGTTTTGATACAAAGGAAGACTTGAAGATAGCTTTGTATACGAAATGTGTGGAAGATGGCTATTAACTAAAAGTTAACAAATCAAGCAAAGATCGTTTCGAAACAAGGTGTATGATTGACAAAAATTGTATGTGGCGTATGATTGCAAAGAGGATAACAGATTGCGAAATGTTTCAAGTTAGGACTTTTATTGATAAACATACATGTTCAAGAACCCAAGTTTTTCCTCACCATAGACATGCAAACAAAAAGGTGTTGGGTGGTTTTCTGGCTGAGTTAATGTTTTTGAATGGCAGGGTATATCGAGGACATGAAATTATGACTGATATGAATGCTCGGTTCAAGATTAGTATCTCATATTCTCAAGCTTGGAGAGCCAAATGTTATGCCTTGGAATTGTTGAGGGGGTCTCCAGAAGCATCGTTTGCCCAACTGCCGGCTTATTGTCACA